GTATTGCATATTTAGATCGATATTTTATGAGAGAAAATACACATCTAACGCAAATACTCAAAGAAGATAATCAATACATTTCAGCTTTATTATACCCAACATCGAAGTAATCTGCACTTTGTGTGTGATAATTCGGCCCGTCCAATTGTCGGGAATAGAATTAATTGACGTGCATAAATCGGATCCCGTGAAATTACATTAAAGCCGGCGTCTTAATGAAATAAACGAAGCCAGCCGGATCAGAGCAGGCCGGCAGACACACACAGCGGCATGCTATTATGCAGTTTGACATTTTGATTTGTGGTTCGTTAATTGAGAGCGATAAATTGATCCTTTCACGTCGCTCCCTGGCCCCGTGTCTTTGACGATTAATGGCGGAAGTTTGCTCGCGATCTTTATTCCTTTCTACGAACGAATTAAAAAACTCAACTGCGTTAACCACGCTTAAAGTCATGTCACGCTATCACAAGTAATGCGAACATGTTAACTATAAAGTATAAGATATACCTCGATATAATTATGCACGAATGTTTAATACAGATTGTAATTAGTTCTGAGATATCAAAATCATCTTTTTAATTTTTTAATGATAGCTTTCGAAATACAAGAGATTCAGATAATCTAGATTTCCGTAAATTCTACATCTCAAAATCTATTATACTTCAGTTATTTAAAAAAAAATTTTTTTTTCTTTGAATGAAATGTCAATTTTAAATTTTGATATAAATCTGAAACCAAGTGTTTTAAAGCGTTTTAATTATCGTGATTCGCAATCAGTTCTAAAAGCGCTGATACGCACGCGGAGCAATTTTTCTATTCTTGTAGTCGGACTCCAATTCCGAGCGTTAAACTATAATTTCCGTTTCTAGTGCATTATCACCCTGATACTCCTCATCATAGAGGATGTCTACGTACTAATAAATTATGTCAGCTTCGTTGAGGCTCTATTTACCACACTGTCCGTGTCTGGTCTATTGTGGTTACGTTACAAAAAGCCCGATCTCCATCGTCCGATAAAGGTACGCGCAATTTTGTTACATTTAATTTTTGGAAAATATCATATGCATCTTCCTTTTTTTTTTATTTGATCGCAAATTTCATTTCGTATATTTTATCCTGCAGGTTTCTATCATTTTGCCAATCATTTTCTTCATAATCTGCGCATTTTTGGTCACCTTGCCGTGTTATGTCTCGCCCTGGGAAGTAGGTATAGGCATAATCATAATTCTATCTGGCATTCCTGTGTACTGTATATTCATCGATGAGAAAACGAAGCCCGCTTGGCTCATCAATGTATCCTGTAAGTATAGACAAACTTTAGAAGCTTGTTTAAAATGAAGCTGCAAGATAGTTACACTTATGCTTACATTTATGCAGTAAATATATAATATTATATATTTTATGTATTATTTATATAATATGCTATATACTATATGATTATATGTCATTATTACATTTTTTGTGTAGATAATTTCAACATAGCATGCGCAAAACTATTCATGTGCGTGCAAGAAGATAAGACGGAGTGAGTGCTCAAAACTCGCAATAATCTTTACGACAAACTCCGAACTGAGACATTCGAATTTAAGAGTGCATTTCGCACGCGTCGTACTTTTTCATAGATAGATAGAAAATATAGTTTTGAATAGATACAATGCTGATCATTGTCTTCTATCAAACAATTGCATGATTGCATAAGTATTAACGATAATGCGTGAACGACCGATACAACACTGTCGTCGATAGATTCATT